CTTTATTTCGGTTATACAACGATTACAACAGTAGTAAATCATGTCAGAACGAATCCTGCGCATATATGCAACTACCCGGGTTTTGACCCGATGTAACCATCGTTAACAACGTTTACTTAATACAGGAATCTTCACCGTTTGAAAATGCTATAGTTGTAGAAGCTTTATATGCTGTTTGTACCGAATTAAGAAACATATAAAAGAACACTATGACCGCACAGCTAAGCGCTATTCCGAATCTATTCACTTTACTAATCATCGTCTAGTCTAGTCATGACTAGATATATATATTATATATAATATATATGTATTACGTTATATATGTTGAATAATTTAATACGTTAAAATAGTGAGTTAATCGACTTCAATACCTCCTGTGTTCCAACTTGCCTTGTGAAACGTATGCAGCCTTTCAAAATCACGTGGCCTTAAATATATCTTATTCTATTATATATATAATGCTATCTAATATAACCATATATCATTTTGTTGAAATTACGCTTTAATTTACGAGCGCCATAGACCGGCTAATTGTTTGACCCCAACAACCCCCTAACCGAACCCTTCACTAAAGCCTTCCCGTTGTTTTTCTCCGCAGCATAGTGGTGAACCTTTGTCCCCACAAGCACAGTATCTACCAACTAACAATCAATTGTCATCAAAAGTCCTACTCTAAATAGAGAACAACACGCCCGCTCACGCACGCATGCACTGCACAGACACACACACAGCCCCACATCCGTTCCCACCGCCGTGCACGCACACCACTACAAACCCCGCACACACACACACACACATGCTCACACCACCACACCACACACACACACACACACCTCCCAGCCACACTCACCACCACACTCTACGCCAAACCCCACCACACACACACCCCCACAACCCACACCCACCCATGCGCCACACACACATGCACAACCCACACACACAGCACGCAACCCACACCAGCACATAATAATATATATATATAATTATTATATAGTCGTCGCAGTGGTTTTACACGAAAAGTGAAACCTGGTGTCTTATTTTGCAGCATTTTGTTTTAAACTAATAAAATCTAAATCAGCCAATAGATGGCGATATGTCTCAGGGCCGTAGCCTCTGGTGATGCCTCATAGATTTCCGAAGAAACAGAAATTAACACCTAAATAAATGGTAACAACCCTAGAATAAGTGTGCAATCCTTAGGTCGCCCACCGCATAAAGCCCTCGCGCACACAAATCGTACAATGCCATATTGACTGCGCCCCTCAATCTTATTTCCTCTCCGCCGAGTCGCGACCTTCCCTCCTTCTTTAAATTAACCTAATTTAAAAGTCATTCACATAAACTACCGCATTCGGTCAGCCGTGCTGTCGGCGCCCCGCACATCACCTGCGGCAGCCCACCCACACACAAATATGTATGCATTACCCTGCAGCACATAACTATCAGCCGAAGTCGCATTGGCGCAGTTGCTTTCAGCTGTCAGAAAGACAATTGAAGATCTGGTTGCCAGACTCGTAGAGCAAGTAGCGTCAAACGAACCAAGTAAGCGCGCGCCGCTTAATCAAGCAGGTAACCAAAAGACTGATGCATCGCTTGTAGAAAATCCGACACGCGCTTGTGATGCCAAGTTCAACTGGACATACCGCATATAACAACGATGATACTAAATATTGTATTGTTTCTAAAGTGCGGTAAGGGATCATCGGGCAGAAAGTTGATTTGACCATTGGCTTAATATCACCATATAAACTATATACTTGATCAATTAAATTATAAACAAAGCTAATGCAATGGAGGCAATCGGAACGTTGAATACGAACACAAATAGGATCCCACCTCGAGCACAGTCGGTGAAATCAATTTTTGCGGCTCAGCGCCAGTCAATTCACTGACACGATAAATGCGATACACACAGCGGACGCACGGACGCACGCACGGCCACGTTGCACGCCTGCCGATAAACATCCTGAGCATAGTGGTAATATCTCATAATAGATACTACGTCCGCCGGCGTGTGCGCACAAACAATGCACTTCTTCTTTAAGAAACGTCAAATAATTTAATATTACAATTATAATCATTACGTGTTCGTATTCGTGAGCGCACAATTTTGTCCTCACTTTACAAGTTGGTCACTTGTCTGTCTACTTCCTTGCAGCAAGTCGTGGAACCCACCACATCAGCCACCACGGCCACCAGGTGCCGTCAAATGTCATGCCAGTGTGGCAGTGCACCAGCAGGGTGCGATGCATGCGCCCTAGGCCTAATCCGGCACGCCAGGCTGGCGCCCTGCCGACTCGTAACGTGTAATTTTTGATTGAGAGACTGGCGGGAAAACCCGCCACGCTCATAGCGGAAGAATTTCCCGGACGCGGGCGTGCAACCAGTCACGGCAACTCATCACAGGTAACGTCCTGGGACACACCACAATGTACCGTCCACAGGAGAGCGAGTTATGCACGTCATGCAGTGAAACTAGAATGATAGGTTTGACTTTAACCGATGGCTACGTCACACGTGCAGATAGCGTGATGACGTCCACATCGTGTGGGGTCAGTGACGGCAAAGCCGGCTAAGACGGCCTCGATGACGTCACATATAGCCAATAATTGATGCCGTCACGCCGCGTACAGCGTGCGATGGAGGCTGGGAAATTTAAATCGATCTGAGTATTCTTCGTAGATTTTCAGTCCAGGTGTGCACCGTTCCGGCTCGCGTGCGATCCACGGTGGTCCCGTATTGTCGTGCACGCTAACGTCAAGACATGCTTTTGTTGGAACCAGCGATCCGGCGACCCCCCCCCCCCCCCCCCCCCTCGTGCGTTTTTCGATCCGCCTGATTTGTTCAGTGGGTGTGCGTCAGTATGTGTTGCGAAGCGGGGGAAAACGCGGCGTTTTTCAAATATTCCTAGGTGGTTATTACATATTAGTATTAGGGTACATTATTTTGCTTTAAGATGCAAGTCTTAAATGACCCTAGAATCTGTAACTGTAGTTATAAATAATACACTCCCACCCACTAGGAATCTAATAATATATGTCGAACATATACAGAATGTCTTGTCCACACGAGATGTCTGTGCTGATAATAGCCGCTCCAGTCTGCCGCATCTCTTGCTATAAGCAGTTTGGACCTTTCACACCACGTTTTTGTACCTATCATATCTCGTAAAAGTTCGCAGCAATTTCTGCAAACAAGGCAAAAGGCAAAGGGTATATTTACAATATGGTACATGCCCGCCCAGTCAGCGCGTCTTCGTTTGTTCCGCCTCTTACATTCTGGTTCTACTTGCACCAATAAATTAGCAATCGTAATGCATATATTAAAGTGGAACATTCACGGTCGCTCAACAGGTACTGTACTTGACAAGTTTCGGGGCCTAAGCCCGCTGCATCTTCACATACGAAGCGCACTTTTAAGCGAAGCAATCAAACACTACAGCGACAACAGCAGTAATTAGGAGATAATCACCAGTCCTAAACTCTATACGTTCCAGTACGAAGCGGCGAGTCGCACGTTCAATACGCAAATCACGCGTAAGACTGAAAATTATGTCTTGTCCTGATATTCTAATGGTGCCATATCAGGATCAAATAACGTGTTCTAACACAATGCCTTCTGTGGTTTATTATTAATTAAATGATTAATACCAGTCATTATCCGCTCTGGCATAACAATGTTTCGGCAAACTAGCCACACTTCTCGAACGTCCAAAGATCATATGCCCCAAACAAGAAAGGCTCCACATATCTTGACAATATTCGCGCTTTAAGCCTCATTAGATATTATCCTCCATAAGTGACACAACGATGATACGATGCAATTTCAACAGTGTGTTTCATGCAGTCGTCCCGCGCATCGGAGTTTTCTTAAGCGATTTCGAAATGTTTGAGCATGGCATACAGAAATGCTCGTGACGGGTCTGGTGACTCTGTGTCACCCTAGTTAACACAGTGTCAAGGTCTGTTCTGCTCTACGCTATATCAATCCCCTACGTCTCTGCACTGTTAAGTAGATGAAGTCAGCTAGGGTACAGCCACCCGTGCTAATAAGGGGTATATACTGCAATCGACATCTGCAACCTCTACAGTCTAAATGTGGTAAAATGCACGGGGCAACAATCATTCTAACCAAAGACAGCTGCGAAACACATAAAAATAACGATTAAATAATTTGTAATTCCTTCTCGGTCTCGCTTCTGTTTGCGATTTTTTACATTGCCTTCGTACGGCGTCAACGCTTTTCGCGTATAGCGGCGTCTGGCTTTTGCGTTTCGATCATCTTTCTTTTTCCGGCTGCGCGACGTTCCTGCCGTACGGCTACCGATGGAAACCAACGCCTGAGTCCTCCCTCTCTCACGTCACAAGCGATTGCATAAAACAGGAGATGAGTCAACCGAGTATACGCGTTTGTATGCCACCCCTCCTCACCTACACGCAACATGCAAGTGACTGCCGCCCCGCGCGACCCACACGTCGCGAACGGGTGTATGGTGTGCCGCAATAGTCCGTGACGCGGACACAAAACGGATCGAGGTCGGTAACACACACTGCTGTGCGTCAATACCCCTCCTCCTCCCGTCTCTCGTAAGACACCCCGGCACTCCCCCACGGTCCTGCTGGCTGGCGGGTTGACCGACACATCGATGCCCGCCCGTCGTTGCCCGCGTTTGCGACGGCCGCGGGGTCCCGGCGTTCGCGTCCTCCGCTGCCGCCCTCGTCACACACCGGACCTAACTGCAGCAGGCCATCAGGCTGGTTGGTCGAGCTGAAGTTGTCCACCGCTGGCGAGCGAAATTTCGGAGGGCCCCCGTCCCCGCCCCTGCTTTCTTCGTCGTCGCCTCTCGTCGCGGAACTGCCTGCGCAGGGGACTTGCGCGCCGGCGCTGGCCCCCGAGATCTTCCCCGTCGCGATTCAGGATCGTGGATTTCCTCTCCTCCTCCTCCTCCTCCTCTCTCCTCCTCCTCCTCCTCCTCCTCCTCCCCTCCTCCTCCTCCTCTCCTCCGCGCTCCCTCCTCCTGCCGCGGAGTCCCGGCTCACCTCCTTCTTCTGTTTCGTCGCGCTGACGGGAGAGCAGCGGTCCTCCTTGTGCTCCTTGATGCTCTCGTGCCTCTCCCGGGTGCCGCGCGTGCCCCGCCCCCGGCTGCGGGGGGAGGAGGCGGTGTGACGTGCGTTCCTGAAAGCACAACGATCAAACGATCACGAGCGGCTCGCGAAGCACATTTGACCTTTGCCGACCCCCTCAAACTCGACCCCCGCCCGCCTCACCCTGTCTCCATAAGCTGCGGCCCATTGTCAGATACAAAATAAGTCTTAAGGTTAGTGCAAACGTCGACTTTTTCTCGTAGACCGTTGAGAGAGACATGATAAAGTTACACGCAGTATCTCTTATATGCAGTATGTAGAGGTGCAGTCTACGAAAAATGGTTCACGTTAAGGCTAATTTTAAGACAAATTTTGTTTCTGACACCAGGCGCCAAGCCAGTTATAACTTATACCTTAACACTAGTAGCATAACACATGGTGATGCAATCATTTTTGGTGTAACTATCACTAGCCTATCTCCGAGTGACCAAAAGCCACAACCTCTCAACACGTCAGGCTTTACTCACCTCAGGGTCTGGGATTCGTTGAGTGCATTCTGATTCTGCTGAGCGAAATACTGCCTCTGCTTCTGCTTCTGTCTGTCCGTGTCATCCAGTGTGCGGCTTCGCTGCCTGCCCGTCTGCTGTCCGTCCCCGCCTGTACGCACAGACGAGATATATATATATATCAGGGTAAAAAATACACGGGAGCGATGAGCGATTCGCTCTTCAAACCTCCGAAATCGCTTGACAAAAAATTTTGACGAGAGCTTTTTTTTCCACAGACTTGAAAAAGAGCTCCCGTGAAAAAAAAATTTGTTTTCCCTGATATGTGTATATATATATATATATATATATATATATGTTACACTCACACTCCCCACACTCAGATATAGTCAAACACAATGCACGTGCTTTTACAACAGCCACTTATGCACGCACGAACGCGCACGCACGTGAACACAGATATACGAGGGTTACTAATAAACCCACCGAATGATTGCGGCAATGCTAGAGTTACTCTCACATTCAGGAATACAGGAAAAACCACCAACCGACCAAATTTGCCACTATCATTCCTCCACTCCCTGCCCCCGCCCTCTGCCGCCGCCCACCTTTCCCGAGCTGGTTCGAGATCCACCGCCGCAGCGGCTTCACGAAGGGGATCACCATGAAGAACGAGTTCGGATTGAGACCGACTCCGCCGCCGGCGCCGCGCGCCGCCGCCGTGTCTTTCTTGTGCGCGGGAAGGTCGGCGATGGCGAACCACTGGAGCGCGCGGATCTCGTTGCGCGTGCGCGGCGCAAACTCGGCGTCGAGCGGCACGCCCGTGACGATGTAGAGCCGGATCGTCTGGCCGTTGAGTGCGTACTCGACATAGTCGTCGTCGTTGATGAGCGCGTCGACGTCGAAGCCGGTCTCCTCGAGCACCTCGCGCGCCGCGCACCGCGTCGCCGACTCCTCCTCGTTCACCTTGCCCTTCGGGAAGCCCCAGCTGACCTTCGACCAGAAGCCCTGCACGAGCAGCACGCTCTCCATGGCGGTGTCGAGCATGATGGCGCCGTACGTCGGCACGGCCATCTTGTACTCGCGCCACTCGTCGAGTGGTGATGCCCCATAGATTTCCGAGAAACAGAAAATTAACACCTAATAAATGTAACTAACCCTAGAATAAGTGTGAATCTTTAGGTCGCCACCCATAAAGCCCTCGCGCCCACAACATCGTACTATGCATATTGACTGCGCCCCTCAATCTTTATTTCTCCGCCGAGTCGCGAAATTCCTCCTTCTTTTAAAATTTAAACTAATTTAAAAGTATCAAATTAACTTAACCGCATTCGTGTCAGACGTTGTGCGTGCGCACGCACAATCACATGCGCACCCCAACGCACACACAAATATGTATGCATTTACCTTGCAGATACATAACTATCAGACGAAAGTCGGAATTGGCGCAGTTGCTTCAGCTGTCAGAAAGACAAGTGAAGATCTGGTTCCAGAATCGTAGAGCCAAGGAGCGTAAAACGAACAAGAAGAGAGACGAGATAACGAAGCAGGTAAAAAAAAGAATGATGAATCGCTTTGTAGAAAATCCAAACGCGCTGTGATGCCAAGTTAAACTGTGACAACGCGAATATAAAACGCATGATACTAAATATTTTATTTGTTATAAAGGTGTAGTGTAAGGGGACACGGGCAGAAATTGATTGACAATTGGATTATATCACCATATAAAAAATACTTGATAAATTAAATTAAAACAAAGCTAATGAAAATGGAGGCAATCGGACGTTGAATACGAAAACAAATAGGTCCCAAAACTCGAGCAAAGTCGGTGGAAATCAATTTTTTGCGCTCAGCGCAAGTCAATTCACTGACACGATTAAATCTGATACACAGACGGACGCACGGACGCACGCACGCACGCACGCACGCACGCACGCACACACACACACACACACGGCCACGTGCACGCACGCGAAAACATCCTGAGCATACGGTAATATCTCTATAGATATACGTCCGCGGGCGTGTGCGCACGCAAACAATCACTTCTTCTTTTAAGAAGACGTCAAAAATAATTTAACATTACAATTATAATCATTACGTGTTCGTATTCGTGAGCGCAAATTTTGTCATCACTTTTACAAGTTGGTCACTTGTCTGTCTACTTCCTTGCAGCAAGTCGTGGACCACCAACATCACCACAACGGCCACCAAGTGCCGTCAAATGTCATGCAAGTGTCGGCAGTGCAACAGCAGGGTGCGATGCATGCGCACCTTGGATAATCGGACGCCAGGTGGCGCTGCAGAATCGTAACGTGTAAATAGTTGATTGAGAGACTGGCGGGAAAACCCGCACGCTCATAGCGGAAGATTCACGGACGCGGGCGTGCAACCTACACGCAACTCACGGAACGTCCTGGGAACACCAAAATGACGTCACAGGAGAGCGATGTATGACGTCATGCAGTGAACTAGAATGATAGGTGACTTTAAACTGATGGATGACGTCACAGTGGAAGAGACGCGTGGATGACGTCACACGGTGTGGGTCAAGTGACGGCAAACGGCTAAGACGGCCTCGATGACGTCACTATATAAGACAATAATTGATGACGTCACGCCGCGTAAGCGTGGCGATGAGCTGGGAAGATAAATGCGATCTGAGTATTCTCGGTAGATTTTCAGCGGGTGCACTTACGCTCGCGTGCGATCACGTGTGTCTCGTATTTGTCGTCACGAACCTCAAGGACATGGCTTGTTGGAACAGCGATCCGGAGTCGTGCGTTTGTTTCTGATCAGGATTTGTTCAGTGGTTTGAGTCAGTACTGTGTTATGCGAAAGGGAAACGCGGCGTTTTCAATATTTCCAGGTGGTTATTAATATTAGTATTAGGTACATCTATTTTTGCTTTAAGATGCAAGTCTTAAATGACCTAGAACTGTAAATTAGTGTATAAATAATATAACTACCACTCCACTAGGAATATAATATATATATATGTATACATATACAGAATTGTATTTCAAACGTAATGATTGTCTGTGCTGATAATAGCCGATCAGCTGCCGCATCTTTGCTATAGCAGTTTGGACATTTCAAACGTTTTTGTACATATTCATATCTCGTAAAAGTTCCAGCAATTTCTGCAACAAGCGAAAAAGGCAAAGGGTATATATATATATACATATATGTACATGCCCGCACAGTCAGCGCGTCTTCGTTTGTTAGCTATTAATTTCTGGTTTCTACTTGCAACAATAAATTAGCAAGATCGTAATGGCATATATTAAATGTGAAATTCACGGTACTAACAGGTACGTGTAGAAAAGTTTCGGGGCATAAGCACGCTGCATCTTTCACATACGAAGCCACTTTTAAGCGAACAATAAAACAATAAAGTGAAACAGCAGTAATTAGGAGATAAATCACCAGTACTAAACTCTGACTACGTGTACAGTACGAACGTGCGAGTCGGCAGTTCATTACGCAAATCACCGTAAATGATAAATTATGGTCTTGTACTGATATTTATGGTGCAATATAAGGATCAAATAACGTGTTCTAAAAATGCATCTTCTGTGGTTTATTTTATTAATGATTAATAACAAGTCATTATCAGCTCTGCATAAAACATGTTTCGCAATTACTAGCCACACTTCTCAACGTCCAAAGATCATATCCAAACAAGAAAGGCTTCCACATATCTGACAATATTAGGCTTTAACCTCATTAGAATTATCCTCCATAATCGACAAAACGATGATACGAGATTTCAACAGTGTGTTTTCAATGCAGTCTGTCCCGAGAATCGTGAGTTTTCTTAAGCGATTTCGAAATTGTTTGAGCATGCATACAGAAATGGCTCGTGACGGTCTGGTGACTCTGTGGCATTAGTTAAAACAGTGTAAAGGTCTGTTCTGTCTACCTATATCAATCCCCTACGTCTCTGCACGTGTTAAGTAGATGAGTCAGCTTAGGTGACAGCCACCCGTGCTAATAAGGGGTATATAATTGCAATCGACATCTGCTAACCTCTACATCTAAATGTGGTAAAAAGGGGCAACAAGTATTCATATCCAAAGACAGCTGCGAACACGAAAAATAACGTATTAAAATATCTGTAATTCTCTCCGGCTCGCTCGGTGCGATTTACAGCCTTCGTACGGCGTCGAGCTTTCGCGAAACGCGGCGGCGCGCGATCACCCCGGCTGCTGAGTTCCTCCGTACCGACCGATGGAAACAACGCCCGAGTCCTCCTCTCTCACGTCACAAGCGATTGCATAAGAACGGGAGATGAGCAACCGAGTAACGCTTGTATCCACCCCTCCTCACCTACACGAAACATCAAGTGATGCCGCCCCGCGCGACCAACACTCGCGACGGTGTATTGGTGTGCCGCAATAGTCCGTGACCGACACAAAACGTCGAGTCGGTAACACACACGCTGCGTCAACCCCCCCCCCTCTCTTCCTCCTGTCTCTCGTAAGCACACCCCGGTCGTCGCCCACTGTCCTGCTGGCTGGAGGGTTGACCGACACATCGATGGCCGCGCGTCGTTGCCGCGGGCGACGGCGCGGGGGTCCGGCGTCCGCTCCGCCGCTGCGCGCCTCGTCACACCGGACCTAACTGCAGGCAGGCCATCAGGCTGGTTCGGTCGAGACTGAAGTTGTCCCACGCGTGCGAGCGAAAGTTCGGAGCCCCGTCCCCGGCCCGCTGCTTCGTCGTCGTCGGCCTCTCGTCGCGGAACTGCTGCTGCAGGGACTTCGCGATTTCCGCTCACCTCCTTCTTCTGTTTCGTCGCGCTGACGGCAGAGCAGAGCCGGTCCTCCTTGTGCCCTTGATGCTCTCGTTGTCCTCTCCCGGGTGCCGAGCGCGTCGCCCGCCCCCTGGCTTGCGGGGTAGGAGGCGGTGTGACGTGCGTTCCTGTGGAAAGCACAACGTCCCAACGATGCACAGCGCCTCGCGAAGCACATTTGACCTCTGCCGACCCCCTCAAACGTCGACCCCCGCCCGCCTCACACCTGTCTCCATTAAGCTGCGGCCCATATGTCAGATACAAAAATAAGTCTTAAGGTTGTAGCAAACGTCGACTTTTTCTCGTAGATCACGTTGAAAGAGACATGGTATTAAGTTAACGCAAGGCTCTCTCTTATATGCTAGGTAATGTAGAGTGCAGCTAGAAAAATGGTTTCACGTTAAGGCTAATTTTAAGACAAATTTGTTTCTGAAAACACCAAGGCGCCACAAGCCAGTTTAATACACTATACCTTAACAACTATACATAACCATGTGATGCAATCCATTTTTGTGTAACTATCAGCTAGCCTATCTCCGAGTGACGCAAAACCAACACGCTCTCACACGTCAGGCTTTACTCACCATGCAGGAGTGCTGGGATCGCTGAGTGCATGTCTGAATCCTGGCTGAGGCGAAAATACTGCTCTCTTGGCTTCTGCTTCTGTCTGTCCGTGTCATCCAGTGTGGGGGCTTGCGGCTGCCTGCCCGTCTGCTGTCTCGCCCCGCCTGTACGCACAGACATATAATATATATTATTATATATCAGGGTAAAAAATACACAGGGAGCGATGAGCTGATTCGCTCTTCAAAAACTCGAAATCGCATTCGTGAGGCCTCAAAAATAGGCTCCTGTGTAAAAAATTTTGACGAGAGCTTATTTTTCTCATCAACATGAAAAAGAGCTCCTGTGAAAAAAAAAAGGAAATTTTTTCCCTGATGATGTGTATATATATATATATATATATATAATATATATATATATATATATATATATGGTTACCACTAACACTCCCCACACTCAGATATAGTCAAGACACCAATGCACGGTCGCTTTACAACAGCCTACATTATGGCAACGCACACGAACCGGCACGGCACAGGAACCACAGATATTACGAGTTACTAATAAACCAACCGAAATGACTGCGCAATTCATGATTTACTCGCTCACATTCAGGAAATACAGAGAAGAATCCACCAAACCGACAAGATTTGCCAACTATCATTCCTCCACTCTCCCGCGCCGCCGCTCCTCTGCCCCCACGGCTTCCCAAGCTCCGAGCTGGTTTCGAAAGTATCGCTCCCCGCGCAGCGGCTTCACGAAAGGGGATCAGCATGAAGAACGAGTTTCGGATTGAGACCGACTCCGCCGCCGCAGGACGCCGCCGCCGCGCGTGTCTTTCTTGTGCGCGGCAAGGTCGGCGATGGCGAACCACTGGAGCGCGCTAGCGAATCTCGTTGCGCGTTGCCGCTGGCGCAAACTCGGCGTCGAGCGACACGCCCGTGAATGTAGGCAGCGCCGGGATCGTCTAGGCCAGTTGAGTGGCGTACATCGACATAGTACGTCGTCCGTTGACTGGGACGCTCGACGGTCGAAGCCGGTCTCCTCGAGCACCTCGCAGGCGCACGCGCACGCGGCGTCGCCGACTCCTATCCTCGTGTCACGATTGCCCGTTCGGGTAAGCTCCCCAGCTGACCTTGCGACGCAGATACCCTGCACGAGCAGGCACACGCTCTCCATTGGCGGTGTCGAGGCACTGATGGCGCCGTACGTCGGCACGGCCATACTTTGTACTGCCGCGCCACTCGTCGAGGATGCGCTCGACCGAGCGCTCCTCCTCCTCCATCAGGAACGAGCAGTGACCGAACACCTGCGCAGAGAGGCCGGGGATTATAATACAGGTGACCGAACACCTGCGCAGAGAGGCGGGAGATTATAATACAGGCAACCAAACACCTGCACAAAGAGACCAGGGATTATAATAAAGCGACCAAACACCTGCACAGAGGCCGGGGAGATAAATACAGGCGACCAAACACCAATCGCAGGAGGCCGACGGATTTAATACAGGCGACTCGAGGCCACCTGGGCAAGAGAGGCCAGGATGATAATACAGGTTGAACCGAACCTGCGCGCAGAGCAGGTGCGGGGAATGATAATGACAGCGAACCGAACACCCATGCGCATGAGGCGGGGATCTATAATACAGTAACGCGAACACCTGCGGCATCAGGCCGGTGGATGATAATACGGCGACAGAAACACCATGCGAGGCAGGATAGAGGGCCACGGGGATGACTACATACCAAGCGACCGAACACCTGCGCAGAGGCCGGGGATGATAATACAGGCGACCGAACACCTGCGCAGAGAGGCCGGGGATGATAATACAGGCGACCGAACACCTGCGCAGAGCAACCACGCAGATAGGAACAACAGCATGTGAGATGTAACATAGATTAACTAATAATAAATATGTTACAAAAATGAAATACAGGTGGCAGCAGCTGCTTGACGCACTTTCAATGACCTGATCGAGATGATAGAAATTTTGAATTATTTTGTTAACAAGTACTGCACTGGAAACATAGATTTCAATGACATGAAATTATCAGTATTTACTATTTATAAGCCATATGTCTTGGGGGATTCGCGATCCTTGGCTATGAACCTACAAAGATATATATACTATATTTTTCACTAAGATCAGGCTATAAAAGCTACCACGATTATAAACGCAAAGTTCTGCCAATTTACCAATTCACTTTCCAATCTGATAACTACATACGTCACTACAGGCAAACAAACCACAATTGTAGGGTGGCCCTACGTGTATGCGGGAAGCGTGTGTAAATTACGTGTTCGTTGTTTACGTGCATCTGCCACGATTCCATGCGGCACTACTTGTTACGTCTGTAGTGATGGTATTGTACCTGAGCAGTGAATTCCTTCATGCCTACTGAGCGAAGGTTGGCGTTGTCTGGGCAGTAGAAGTCGATGTAGAACCAGTGAGCTAACTCCACCTGAAAGCAGACCCGAATAAGGTCCTGCCGTTCCTCCTCTGGCAATAAAATTCTGATCAGTGAACAATTGAACATGTAGCTCTGACGGAAAGGTTACGAGTAGCATGCCTGTAGGTTTACACCTACGTGTGCTCATTCATATACATAATTATACTGCTGCAAATACGTAGACACACTATTATAGTGCCAGGGGTAGAAATAAGAAGAAGAAAAAGATGGTCCACATGACCATCTTGTTTGAAATTAAGATGGTCCTTCTTAATTTTAGATGGTCCTCCTAAATTTCAAATTGTTCTCTAAAAGTAATGCGGCGTGCAAGCGTAAGATTTGCTATGGTCAACACTGGATTAGCAATAATTGAAACATGGAAACTTCAAAGAAAATTGTTGAAATGGGACCAAAATATTCAATGATCCGTCAGACCATTGACTTTGAAAATCTGATGGTCCTCCTGATTATTTGATGGCCCCGAACCATCGGACCATCGCTTATTTCGACCCCTGAGTGCTGTTGAAACGATGTGCCATCGAGCGGCACAACACTTGAATAGAGCAGATTTGAGTCAGTTTCAACTCAAGGTTTATAAGATATTCAACAATCCTAATGTAAAATTGATAATCAAAATGTAGCTCAAGCAAGAGCTTGTTGCCTCACCTGGAATGTTAATGATGAAGCGAGAGCACAGGTCATCGAGGATGTCCGTGGGGATTCTGAAGGACGGAGTTGATGTGGAAGACTTCGGGAAGCTACTGCTCCCGGGTCCCGGAGAAGCAATCTTGCTATCTTCATGCGCCTGCATCGTAGCTGCGGAGGATCTGACTGTAGAACGCTCCCCTGCTCTATTTCACGATGCAACAATGCCGTGCCACCGATGCTTTAGCACTGGTCCTATTCAATGCTCGTTTTTCTCCGTTCACACTAGCACAGGCATTTGCACTTTATCCTATGCCTACTGATTTCAGAAGTCACTCAAACAAATGGCAGTGGGCTACTGTTGAAGGCATCACTTGGCTAAGAAGGGCATCCAATTGTCTTGCAACTACCTTGCATTCAAGTCACTACATTTCCTGCGATCACGGTATTCACAATTTATTCACACGCTCGTACTTTATATTTTGGCTTTTTTTCCAGAAATGAACATCATGTAGTGTAATCGAATAAAATAGTTTTCAAATGCAGTGATTCTATCAAAAGTCAGTCACAGCTCAAAGTTCTACAGATGATGGCGTCGACAAATGTAACCTCACTATCACACTAAAATACCTCAAGCAGCTACAGTGGGTTTTTTTCACAGATCATCTAGCACATTGTGTTCGTCTTCACTTTGTAAGAGGGTTGCCTGTATTGCCTCCAGGCTGAGACAGGAAACCAAGCTTCGGCGCTAGCTCCATAAACAGTGACATCATCCTGTGATTTACATTCACAAATTTGCTAGAGCAAGTATCAATGCAGCTTCCCTACAAAGTAATAAAAACCAATTATATATAATATCTTTAACGATATATATATTTTTTTATATATATCATATTTTTAACGATATATATATATATATATATATATCTATATACAGTGTTTCCCCTGGCCAAAAAGTTCAGCGAGACGGTAAAATGTTTGTTTGTGGTTGCGCAATGTGAGCACCGAAAGTGATCGCCATGCTAGGGGGGTCCGGGGGCATGCTCCCCCGTAAAAAAAATTTTTTAAATGGTGCAATTTGGTGCATTCTAAGCTATTCTGAACACATTATATGAGACTCTTGAATCACTTTTTCAAGTTGTCAAACGGAACAAACAAGCTTCTGGGAAAAGTTTTACTTTTGTTTTTCTCCTCCCCAGTCCTTGGTACCCCCATGCATAGATCAATGCTGCCGCATATCCGCAAAGTTACAAGTGCCTAGAATCTTGAAGTATATATACAGTTTACATTGCTTCTAGATATCTAACTGAATAAAAATAGTCGACTTTCTACATAAATAAAAGTGTCGAATTCAGTTAACAGCTTTGATTACGTGCGTGTCAGGTGTCGCTGGTCATGCCCTCACTCCCCACGATAACCCCTGCGACATATGAACCTATTGTTATGCGGTCTTAAAAACACTGGGTTACGCTACAGGCCGCAATCGATTTCTTAGACTGTCACGAGGTTTTGTACGTGTGGCGAATCATGCGTTGAGGGAGTTCATGCCCTCAGCTCTAGATGCTTTGGATACCCCGTCTACGTTCAGGAACGGAGTGTAGTATTAGAATGCGCTCCCGTTTACAAGTCTGTCTAAACTGCCGTTGCGATAACCGTAGTATTTCTGCGTAATATGATGGAAATAAGTGACCGGTCAGGGCCGACCACCGGTCAGTTTGCGTAGCACGATGCTGGCGAAAAAGCAAAAAACTTGTTGCCTCGGGCCTCCCGGTCCGGCAACTAACTTTCCAAACGCTCCTGTAGGTTTATTGATGGCGCAAAGAATATGCTGATTGTCGTCAGCCCCGAAACGGTGTTTTTGTTTAATAAAATTTCTTTGCACTGTGGCGCCTCGCTCGTCGTTCACATGAGGGGAAACCGATATATACGCATATATTTCTACTTACTTATATATATATTATACATATATAATATATATTATTACGAGATAATAACTCATCACCAGTCAGCATGCTCATCTACCAGCTGATCATCTTTCATTCACTTATCACACTTACTTCAATACAAATACATTGTACACTCAACATTCATATTTTACAAACCATTCAGCAATATATTATCATCCCCTGTCCTGAAAAAATAGTATTATTTTAATCATTATTGCGCAATATCAATCCTTTATATTAATCACTTTAGTAACCAACCCACTATCGGCTCATCTTCCTGTAAGTTGCATATCAGTTACAACACGCATCGAAACCAGTCTGCATGACACTGTTGTACGAACTGCAGCGAAATCGCCGAAAACTTGCATTTTTTGAAAATTCCATGAATACACATACTATGTATCATACAGTCATATTGGCTCTATTGACTCCATTACATATGTAAATTTGGAATTAACATTTTCTTTTAGCAAATTCGCTAAATAGTAAATCTCAAGCTTACCCTACCTATGGAGGTTGGCTCTTCGCTCTGCAACCAGGACCCCCCGGCAGCCTGTTGCCAAAGTTGAAGCCACTGAAAGGCAAAACGACAAACAAGTACGCATTTGTACTGCAAACGTCAATCCTAGTTTAGCACATAATTTGGCGACGTGATACTGATGTTCAAAGAAAGGATTGCAGACAGCAGCTAAGTATCTCAGTACAAAACACCGGGACATTCAAAATTATTATTATAGTTCTATACTAGTCTATTAACAAGTTAGCGCAGCCAGCGTCTGAGCGCTCATCTGAGGTCCTGTTTGCCTCGATTGATAAACGTAAATTTCAAGTCGTGCGTAGTACCACATTTGTGAGGCGCCAGATATGCAGACCGCCAGTTGCGCTACAATCATGTCTGGATTCACGCCCACCCTATCGCATGGAGGGTGGGAAGAGGGGAGGGGGGAAGGGGTGGGGAAGGGACAAAACGCAACTATTCAACCACCTAAAAAGGGGCGCGGGCGGCAAGGGCTGGCTGGCGAGGGGGCACAGGGGTAGGGCTGAGGGGCAGGACGCTCTAGATTAGCCAAAAGCAGTTCACTACACTTACGTTACAAACAGTCAAACAAATCCATGCTTAACCCTCCTCTTGCAGGGCTCAAACACGTTATCAGACACTCTCACATACTTCGCACAGTTCAGTGGAAAGCACGATTTTCATGGGATCCTGTCATCAATAAGCCAATAAAAAGATAGGTCACCGCCCTGCAAACCACAAAAAGTTTTTCAACTCGCCGTCGTCAGGCACCATGTCCCTCAGAAAATTGTCCTAAAAATCTGCCCTGAGTGCTAATGACCTTTGACCTCGTGACCTCAATTTCGCACCACCACGTGATGGCCTTTTCTACACCATGATGCCTATACACCGACTATCACGAGCCTTAGGTCCGAGCCGTTGTTGATTTGCTGCCGCAACTTCTGCATTTCCTTCCTATACCTTTAAGTTAAGGACGGGAATGTTTACCTTCTTCTTTAACACCTCTTGACCTTTGACTCTTGACCCCAGCTTCGACCATTTCACCAACTCGTTTCTCGGAATTTACCCCCCACCGTCCCGCAACTAATCGCTGACCGTACGTCCGAGCGCGTTTGCATTTTCGCTGCCCAACTATAGTTGAACGGAAAACGGCACGCTTACCGGACGGACGCCCACACACGGCCGTAGGGCCACGGGCATTCATCGATTCTACAAGCTGATCTGGGACTATGTCAAATGACGCCTAAAAAGTAATATAAATTCTATTCACCAGCCTATAAGCAAATTAAGTAATAATTAAGTACGGTTCCGGTCCAATAATCGTCCTGTGCCTGTCAACTAATTGCGCCTGTGCTGATTGTCGGTATAAAGACGCAAGCAAATAAAACGCGCCCTCAAACAGGCTACAGGCAGTCCACCTACCATACCGCGAAGTGCGCTCGGTGGTCACCGGCAGTCCGTATCTCCAATTTACGCAGGAGCTGCAGAGTACGCAGCTCCATTTGCACATATGCCGCTTCCGACTTCTCCCACAAATAATGCCCGTATGGAAATTAATTACGGGGTGCCACCGATCCAACCTTTCTAAGTCGGCAGGAACCAGCAACAGCGGAACTACCTGGCGCTGGAAACCGGAACTGCAAGCTGGTGAATCAAAACTGCACACGTTTTACACTGGCCAGTAACCAATGCGCCAAAATCTTCGGCCCTCTGAACAACAACATTATTTAGCAGGCACATCCACTCAGGCGAGCTAGGACAATGTCCCATTGTTTCTTACATGTTCCCATTATTTCACATGTTCTCATTTGTTTACAATGTCTCACATTCTGACATTGGTTCTCATTGTTCTCAATTGCTACAAAGTTCTAATTACAGAATGGCTTGTTGTGTGCTATCTTATATCAGTGCTTACCAGTGATACTTGGCATCTTACTTCGGCCGACGCGAATTGTGGTGGCCCAACAACCTGCATGATTGCAGCTATCCCTGCCGTTTAGCTCTTGATTATTTTCAATAAAAAACAGGATGGCGATTTCCTCGTGGCTCTAGAGTATTTTACTTTTGAAAAGAAAACTTCAGTGAATCACTAAACAATCAGTTAGGTCTCAGTTCAGCTTAGCAGCCGCAATGTTTCAAGTGGCCAAACGTTTTTCCTATGGGCAGAATTCGGATGTAACAGTTAGTTAACACCGTATATTGTCAGCCAATGTCTGTCTCTACTGATGCTTCCAACTAAGCCATTCAGCTGAACTGATCTTTTTGATCTGATGACGCTCTGTTAGCAGAAATGGAAATTCAGGCGGGACAAAACGTTCCGCTGTTACCGGCCGACGCTTCCTGTAAGCTGGTTCCGGCCAGGGAACCGCGAACTTTGAAAAATTGCAGGGGAAAAAAGATCCTTAGTTCAGCCCACGACTCCAAGTCCGTGACCCCTAAAATTAATTCACGATTTAACAGTTTTTTCAGATGCCCCATATATAACGTTATCAACTATATAAACTACTAGATCAAAGATAGCGAGCCGCGCTCAATGCGAATCAGAAATCATAGGGCATGTTACTAGTTATGGCTTATTAGATTTAGGGTTCAATAAAATCCTATCATAGACAGTTTTTGCCAGTCACCGGTTTGGGAGGCCACGCCTGTGCGCAAATCGGACTGCGCGTACCCCGCAGCCTCCGTAAATTGGAGATAAGATCGTTGCCGACTCGCACCTCAGCCCGGCCGCCACTCACTTACTGTATGGCCTGTCAAAGTGCTGCCAGCATTTCAGTGCTCGCTGCATAGGGTCTACTGTCCCCAAGGTACTGGCCGGAAACGTCACCCTTGGCGGTACGCCGCCGTCCCGCCGTATACCCGCGAACGTACCCTGTACTAAGATAACTACCCCGACTATCTAAAATATTGCCGGACCGTAACCTCCGACCCGTACTCAGTAACGAGTTCTAGGGCAGTCGCCTACGTGCCTACTCCCGCATAACCTCTAAACTTAACCCTACCCACACTAACGCCTCAACCATCATCAGCTAGATAGTTTACCAGGGTACGTTAAAGGTATCCAGCGCACGTACCCAGGGTACGTTCCCGGCCAGTCACCCTGCTGGGACAGTAGGACCCTCGACTCAGCAGTCCAGTGTCAGTCCGGTTTTGCGTTACCCGAACTCTATCATTCTCTATACGCCAAGCTTCATCCACTGGTTCAGTAATGACTATCTAAAGTACCTCTTAGGCCAGCTACTTACAACACTAGTATACTACTTAGTATCTAGATCCACTTTCCCGGGTACATTCATTAGCGCCGGAAACATTCTAAGTTTGTTTTGTTTAATACGCAGACGCGAGATACAAAAAGAACAGTACAAAGGTAACTACTCTCGCATTTCACAACTAAAAAACCACAACAGTGGACACTGGAACACTAGCGAATCTTTCGAGGTCATTGTCGCTTCACTTGCTTTCAAGTGACGCAAAAGCTGCAAGCTGGACATGTCGCTTATTTAGTACGTCAGTTACCCAGAAGCAGTGGTGTCGTGCTAAATAACTCAATAGACAATTAGCTAGCTGTTCACAGTACTACTAGCACTTGTGATTGTACATGATATCATAGATTACACTCTAACAGACGCTGTACTTTCCAAACTGGTTATTTAGGGCCAAGATTATATTCACCGGCATTAGCAATTAGCAGGATAGAACTTGAGCATAGCTTGTAGTTGGTAACTTTTTCGGGCCATTCAATATTGTCAGTATTTACGTATTGACATGACATATATACTAACGTAGTTCGTACTCAAACGTTTACTACGCGCAAAAAAAAATACTATTAATGCTAAAATAAATACGTAATCTGATTTACTACGCCAAACTCCAAATGTCTTAACTGTTTCTCTATCACTATTCATTCATATATTTAATCAATTGCAGACGCGACAATTTACCTAGTAAACTGCCAGTCAAAATGCTTCATCGCCAAGCAAACGCTGCAACTGCGCTGCACAACTGCCATAATACTATAGCAGGGTAGAAAGGTGCCTGGGCAATTTGTCCTTGGACGGGCTTGCTTAATTTCACACGAATCACACACCCAAATATATCTTCGAAACGCATTCTTCACTCCATCTGTGTTTATATTATGGGCAACGAACAAGTAGCTTCACTCTGTTATAACAGAAACATACTGCTGTTTGCTGTTCGTAACAACCCGAGCCTTGTTTGGTTACACCTGCGAAATCCAACACAACATAGCTAACGAACAATTCTCGCGTTTCCGCCGCTTCTTGTGCCGTATTATGTAAATGGCTGTTCGGAAATCTCAGGCAACCACCCACCGGCCGCCTCTTCTCGTGACCTCCGGTTTTTTGCAACGACTTTCACTGAGCAGCTTTGACGAGGCTCGTAACGCGAGAGTTGAGAAAGGCAGGTGCGGTTAGATGCTCAAAATTGCAGCTGCCGCGCCCTATAAGCCCTGGACTTGCCAGCCATTTACTAAACTGCGGCAACAGGCTGGATTACGACCACGCCGAGAATTTCGTTCAGGCTTTGTGTGATTTCGCGTGACACAGCTCGGTTACGAACACAGACAGTATGTTTTTATAACAAGTGAACAATGTTCTTCAAATAGAAACAAAGATGGAGTAGAATGGTTGAATATTTGTGTTGTATTCGTGTGAAATGAAGCGTGATTTGTGTGAATTTTGGCAGCACGCTTTCCTACCTGCTATATATTTATGTGTCAGTGTGCAGCGGCAGCCAGCGTTTGTTGGAGATGAGCATTTGGATGGCATTTACAGGAAATTGTCGGCAATAATAGGTGAAAGAGAGTATAGAAATTTTGGTAGTACTTTGGTTGTAAATAGATTTCGTATTTATTTAGCATTATATTTTATTGAAACGTTCCAAGTGCCTGTGCTATAGCCCTTGTTGGCCACAGGGCTGTGGCGAACAAGGGCTATAGTACTAGAGCTAACATCACACATGCAATTTTATGTTGGCATGGTTTAGTCTAGAAATAAAACGAAATTTATCTCAATGAAAATTTTTTATAATTTAGTAATGACTAATGTCATTGTCAAGCCGACAAACGTAATCATTAGGCCTACTCACTATCAGTATCAGTTAGTAATGGACCTGCTCTGCATTCATATATGTCACGATGTAAACTAATATTGCCAATAATGCGTGTATTGTGTAACTTAGTGACATTTGAGTTCGAAGTCCCTAGAATAACCAGGGATTCCCAGAAGGTTACAATGGAATAACCAGGGATTAGCCCCACTTATAATAGTCTTGGAATACAGACAACACCAGACGTGCATTGCAGTGTGTGCAACTTGCGTAATTTCATACATTGATTTGTTCTCTAGGGGGCAAAGGCAGGATCTTGGCTTCTGTCTGAAACCACTCGCGGTAGGTACAGTTAAGTTGCTCTCCTCCAACTTACTATGCCAAGTTAAAACTCAAGCAGTGAAGAGGATTTTTATATGTGTTTAAATTTTTATGTTTTTATTAGCTCATCTGACATAGTCAGATGCAGCTTGTAGAATCGCATGATCGTCCGTCCGTGCGTCCGTCCGTGCGTCCGTCCGTGCGTCCGTCCGTGCGTCCGTCCGTGCGTCCGTCAACAGTTGGGCACAAATCTTAACCGCTCGACGTACGGTCACGATATTCGGGACGTTGGGGGGAATTGTCAAAACGAGTTGGGATGTCGAAGCTGGGGGTCAAAGGTCAAAGGTCAAGAGGTGTAAAAGAAGGGGGAACATTCCCTCCTTAACTTAAGGTATAGGGAGGAAATGCAGAATTGCCGCACAAATCTAAATGGCTCGACCTAGGCTCGTGATAGTCGGTGTATAGCATCATGGTAGGAAAAGCCAATCACTGT